TGGTGCCAGCTACATCTTGATCAGAAGGTGACAGAAAGTGGACTTAGTGTCACAATGAGGGAAGCTAGAGCAAAAGAGACTGCAAAGCCTGCCCACACAATGACACACTTCCTCCAACAAGGCCATGCCTCCTCCAAGGCCACACCTCCTAATAGTGTCACTCCCTTTGGGGCTCATTTTCTTCCAACACCACAGGTCCTCTCCCAAAAGTGGACTAAGGATGAAGACAGGGACAGCCAGGCAAGCCCGGGAACCCACCCACTCCAGTCATACACTATAGGGAGAACCTGCTCTTACTGACTCATACGTGAGCGGAGGTCTTATATACAACGGACACCTCCAGCTGGACCAGGCTGTACTGGGGTTCCTTCCTCTACCTGGAGGAGTGAAGCCACAGGAAGCCTATTGAAGTTCAGTATAATCCTCAAATGTTTGGGTTATAATCGACAGTCCTCTCCACACGAGAGGCCAGTGCGACCTCAGGCCACAGGAAAACCGCAATAGACGAGGACAGTACCTGTGATGTCATAATTACCTAGTAAGCCTGGCCAACCAATCACATAACATGCTTATTAAGCAGTGCTTGAAGCAGAGGGAAAACAGAGCCTCAGCAAAGAAACAGAAAATATGGAGAAGCCAATGGAAATTTCAGAAATGAAAATATACCAAACCCCTGTTGATGGATTCGGCAAAAAAATCAATGACTTGGGAGACTAGAAACTGTCCAATTTCTAAAGAGGAAATAGACTTGAAGTGAATATGTCTCAGAGACCTGTGGGATTCTAGCCAAAAATCTAACAATCATGTTAAAGCCCTATAAGGACAGGAGTAAAAGAAGTACCAGGACAGGGCTCCAAACCCACCAAATCTTGCTAAAGATACCTCTGCTCCAGATTCAAGAAATGGAGCTAAACCCTAAAGTCAGGTGACTTATTCTCATTATTATCAACTTACTGTATCCTTTATTTTATCAAAAATTTATAAGATTTAAACTACACAATAAGTAACCTGGTGTACCCTGCGAGTGGAATGCCATACCTGAGTATTCCTCCACACTCACCAATACAAGGCATGAGTCCCTTCTCAGCAGGGACACGTTCAGAGAAATGTACGAGAAGATAATCTCTTCATTATGCAAATGTCAGAATGTATTGACCCAAACCCGGATCGTGTGTGACACTGTACACATAGCCTATATGGTCTGTCATAGGTGTGGTTGGTCTGTTACTGATGGTTAGGCCATGTGCTATGTAACAGTGGTTAAAATTATGACTTATAACTAGGTCCCCAGAAACTCAGGGACTCTCAGGAGACTGGATATTGCAGAGATCACAACATTGTCACTTCAGTAGATAAAAAAATGACAAAGTCCCACATGCTTGGAAACTACTAATTGTAGAATTGTGATTAAAAAAATTGGGGGCTGAGAAGTTGGCTCAGCTGCTTAGAACACTTGCTCCTTTTACAGAGGACATGGGTTCAGTCCATGTCTAGGACATAGTATACCCATGTGGGTATAACACACACTTGGTACACATACATACACACAGGCAAATACTCTCATCGAAACACTTTATCCACATAAAATTAAGAAGAATCTTTGAAAGAATTATGACAGGGAACTATGAGCTATGACGAAATGAATGTAGCAGGAAACTACACGTTGAACTATGGTTCAACACTGCACCAAACTTGTGGGACAAAGTAGAAGTTGTGGAAATTTAAAAATCTCGAACGCATATGTGAAGAGGAGAAGACAGGTTGAAAAATCAATGTACTAAGCACCATTCCACATTTGAGGGAGAAGAAAAGTAGACCAGAAGAACTAAAGAAGGCGACAGGAAGGATTACAGAAAAGAGATAGAAGCTAGGAGGTCAAACTTGGCCTATTGTAAGACTGCAGACCTATGACAAAATGGATCAGGGGAAAAAGGCTCAAAAATGAGAGAAATGAAAGGAACATAGCTGCAGATATTAGAAATACAACCAAGGACAAGAACTTGGTGATAATAAAGGTGAACACTCATGATGAATCGTCCTGCGATCACAAGGAAGACGGCACCAGCAACCCAGACACTATCTTCCCACAGAGAGAACTTCAGGTCACAGCAGAAGACTAGTGAACCCCATTACATATGCCAAGGAACAGAAATATCCCAATCGTAAATAAATTATCCCAGAATGACAAATAAGCAAACACTTCTTGGCTCATGGCGTGGGCCGGGGACAGCAACAGACACGAAGGAACAGTATCCAGATTATTCTAGAACAAGTCACTGGGTTTACTGCCTAATTACAGTAGAAAGGAACAGCAAAACAGCGATTCTACAGACAGACTATGAACACGGTGCGTAAGGCGGGGTGCACGTGATGACAGAGCATTTGCCTAGGATGCTTGTGACCCAGGATCCAAACTCAAGACTGAAAAAGAAGGAAAAAAAATTGTTCAAGCTCATTCACTCACTCATAAGCAAGAAGATTAAAACCAGTACGAAATCACATATTCACCAAATTAGCAAAAATTAAGCCAGGAAATAACGACACCCCTCATTCAACTGAGGGATATCGCTGTCATAACTATTTTGAGAACTGTTTGGCAATCCTAATGTTTCTACAGCCCAGCGATCCCTCTGTACTGCTTCACAGCAGCAGACGCTTCCAACAACTCAGATCCTGTCAATAGGATAGATACATGAACGACAACATATTTATAATGAAACACCATCTGTGAGGACCAACAACATAGCTACATCCATCAACATACATTTTTAAAAGCAGCAAATGAAATGACTTTTAAGGATGAATTTCCGAAGTCAACAGTCACCCACATGTTAAGGACCAGAAGCTACAAGGGCAGAGATGGACACATCATTCAGAACTGACACCCACTTCAGGCACTGGCAAGGGCAGCCTGAGAACTGGACATTCATGTTTTTATGTGTTTTTAAGGATTTTGTTTATGTGCACATGTGCACCTCTTCCCTTCTTCTTCTCTGTGTACACATGCCACACGTGTGCCCACAGAGGCCAGAAGAGGGTGATGAATCCCCAGGAGCTGGAGTCACAGGCAGTTTTGACTTGTCCAACATGGGTGCTGGGAACCCAATGCATGCCCTCTGTAAGAGCAGCAAGACTCTTCAGACGGAGTCCTCTGAAGTCATCATCATACATTTATACATATTCTAAAACAAAATCATTTTGAATAGTATAATTAGGACATTTGGTCACCCTTAAAATACCAAGCCTTTACCCTAAGAACTTTGAAATGCTGCCTTATGTGGAAATATTCTCTGCAGATATGAAGAAGGATTTATCCAATAGTCAATGACACCATCTGTTGTAAGGTGAGGGCCCGCTTGTTTGTCCCAGCCTCCTGGCTAGCTTACACCCGAAATAACCACAAAGAAACTGTATTAATTAAAACACTGCTTGGTCATTAGCTCTAGCTTTTTATTGGTTAACTCTTACCTATTAGTTTAACCCATCTCATTAATCTATGTATCACCATGTGGCAGTGGCTTACTGGCAAGATTTTAACCGGTGTCTGTCTTAGGCAGAGGATCCATGGCTTCTCTCTGACTCTGCTTTCTTTCTCCCAGCATTCAGTTCTGTTTTCCCCCACAACCGCCTACCTAAGTTCTGACCTATCAAAAGGCCAAGGCAGTTTCTTTATTTATTAACCAATGAAAGCAACACATAATCAGAAGGACCTCCCACACTACCCCTAAGAACTTCGAAATGCTACTTTGTGTGGAAATATTCTCTGCAGATGTGAAGGATTTATTCAATAGTCTATGACACCATCAAAATTGTCTATAAGAGTATGGAAACGGAAGGACATTACACCATTCTAATAATGCTAATTTTAAAAAGGACCAAAGTAAACTGGGCATGGTGCTATAGGCGGCCTGTAAGCTCAGCACCCAGGAGCTCAACAGGAAGATGCTGCTGAAAGCAAGCCTGAGGTACAAAGTAAATTTCAGGCTGGTCTGGACTAAATGACGAACAAAGGGAGATTTATACACACACGTAGGTGATGTGAGGAGTGGTGGAGATTGGGGTGGAGTGGCTGCTGGACCTGGAAGTCAGTGGCCACATGAAAGAAAAGCGGGGAGTCTTCCCTGGCTCTCTGTGGGGAGTGCAAGCTTCCTGACACCTTTAATTCAGAGGAAAACAGGCTTTACTCTCTTGGTTTCAAACCTGTGAGAGAATAAACTCCTGTTTTAATCCAGTTTGTAATTTGTTCCAGGTTTCGGGAAACTAGTATGCACGGTGAAGAATGGGAAAGAGGTCACAGGACTTCTCAGGGGGCCGGCAGAATCGCGGACGTGTGTGGGCGTCCGGAGGGCCCAGCAGCGCTCAGCAGTCTTCAAGCAGGGCAGAACGGGCTCGGTGACTGACTGGGCTTTTGCTTGACAGGCACGGAGGGGAAAGACAATGGCCTCACACTATGGTATGTCCAGTTTACTCACAGCGATTTACGAGGTAGAGAAGCAAGTGGCAGATGACAGGAAGAGGTGAGGAGGAAGGAAGGGAATCAGTGACCTGTAGGGCGAATTCTGATTGGTCTTCACAGTGAAAACCAGGAGTCAGATACAGGGGTTAATGCTGAAAGATCAGAGAAGCAGAGCAGCCACTCATAGTTCTTACCGCTGTTGAATCCTCTGACCAAAGGGGCGATCCTGTCCCTAAGAATCCTCAAACTGAATGCAATGAGCTCCTGCCTCCTTCTGCCTGTTTTCTCTCTGCCCAGCCATATCCTTCCTGTCTCTACTTCCCTAGTGCTGGGATAAAAAGCGTGTGACTCCCAAGTACTGGGATTAAAGGTGTGAGCCACCACCATTTGGTTCTTTCTCTTTAGACTGGATCAGTTTTGTGTAGCCCAGGGTGTCCTTGAACCCACAGAGATCCATCTGCCTCCTTCTCCTGAGTGCTGGGATTAAGGCTGTGTGCTGTCACTGCCTGATCTCTATGGCTAACTAGTGGCCAGTTCCACACTCTCATCTTCAGGCAAGCTTTATTTGTTAAGCGCAAACAAACTATCACCACAATGAACAGCTCCAGTCCAGTGAAGGAACAGTTGCAGTGGGAGATCTCAGCTGAAAAGCTCAGGGTGAAGTGGCTTAGACGTGGGTGAAGAAAGCAACTCCCCAGGTCCCCATGGTGATTAAGGCGCTAGTCACATTCTGAGGTCTTCAGGTCACAGTGCCTCCTTTTCAGTCAGTTCTGAAATCAACCAATAAGCACAGCAAAATTACTTGGACAGAGGTACTTAAATGTTCACAGTGCCTTTTTCCTGGCGCGTGGCCAAGCAGCTTAAGGCTGCTCTTGGTGAGCTAGCAGAGCCCGCGAACGTTTAAGGTGGGCCCCAAAGTAAAGGATCCTCGCAACCTTTTGTCAACAGGAGCTGCTGGTTCTCAAGCTTGACAATATGCCCGCTATTTGTGGGACTCATTAAAATGCAGATTCCTGGATGCAAAACTCAAACCGTGAACACCAAAAGATACCTGACAGCTTGGATTATTAAAAATTTTATAGACACATCAAAAGCAAACCCATAGGAAAATATGGTTAAATGAACAATTCCAAGCACAAGCAATGAAATCTGTTGTTTGAAAGAAAAAGGAAGAACAGCCCAATAGATTCACTCTTTTAGAATTAGAACCACAATGGTTCTGATTCTAAAATTACACACCTACCAAAAACCAGTACCAGTTCCAAATTCTGAGCATGACACCTAGTGATGAAGAAACTCATCTCAGACACTGTTGGTCCACAACCACTCAGGTAGTTTCTCAGGTTAAAATATCTCTACCATATGATCCAGCTGTTGTTTTTGCTCTTTTGGGGCAGGGGCTGCCACCCAGCTACCAAGTAAATCACACACAGAGGCTTATTTTTAATTATGAATGCCCAGCCTCAGCGTGGCTCGTTTCTTACCAGCTTTTCTTAAATTATTTCATCTATCATTGGCTTTGGGGCTTTCATCTTTCTCTATTCCTGTACACCGTTTCCTGTACTCCATCTATCATTGGCTTTGGGGCTTTCATCTTTCTCTATTCCTGTATACCGTTTCCTGCCTTCTTACTCCATCTCTAGCTCTGTAGCCCCTCAAGTCCTTCTCTTTCCTCTCTCATTCCAAGACTCCTCTCCCAGATTTCTTCTCACATTTATCCTCTCTCCTGCCTCGCTATTGGCCATTCCGCCCTTTATTAGACCATCAGGTGTTTTAGACAGGCATAGTAACAGCTTCAGAGTTAAACAAATGCAACATAAACAAAAGTAACACACTTTAAAATAACATGCCCCAGCAAGCTGTTCTACTAGTAGTTTCCTTTGAAAACTTTACAGAAGTATACGTGTCCACAAGTATGTGTGTCCACATGTATGTATGTGTCCATATGTACACATGCACAGTGCCCACAGAAGCCAGAATAGGGCATTGGAACAGGGGCTAGACAGCTGATACAGGTGCTGGAAACTGAGGTGTTCTTAACTGTTGAGCCACCTCTCTAGCCCTGTGTGTGTGTGTGTGTGTGTGTGTGTGTGTGTGTGTGAGAGAGAGAGAGAGAGAGAGAGAGAGAGAGAGAGAGAGAGAGAGAGACTCTCTTGCCCCTACCTCCTCTATGACGGAATGACAGGCATGCACTGTCCAGGTGTTTACTATTATAGTATGGACACAGTTTATTAAAATTGTTGTTTGAGACAGGATCTCACTATGTGTTCTATCCTAGTTACAGTCTCTATTGCTGTGATAAAACTCCACGACCAAAAACAACTTGGGGAGGAAATGGTTTATTTGGTTTACACTTCCACATCACTGTTCATCACTAAAGGAAGTCAGGGTAGGAACCTGGAAAGAGGAGCTGAAAGAGAGGCCACGGAGGAGAGCTGCTTACTGGCTTGCTCCCCATGCTCACAGTCTGATTTGTTACGTAACCCAGGACCATCAGCCCTGGGGCGGTCCCACCCACAATTAAAAAAAACGACTTATGACCAGATATTATGGAGACATTTTCTCAACTGAGGCTTCTCCCTCTCTGAAGACTCTAGCTTGTGACAAGCTGACATAAAGCTAGCCAGTACACTACGTAGTCCTGGCTGATCTTGAACTCACTACGTAGACCAGGCTGGCCTTTAATTCAGCAAGGTCTGCCTACTCCTGCCTCCTGAGTGTGGAGTCTAAAAGTGTGTGCCATCACTAATACTTTTTTCTGTCCTTTTTCCCCCCCTTTGAAATAGGGTCTCATTATGTCATCTAGCCTTTCTTTCAACCAATGATTCTCCTGCCTCAGCCTCCTAAGTGCTGAAGCTCTAAGTGTGTACCATCGAGCCTAGCCAAAGGACTCGTGAATGTTCACAGACGGTCACCAGTTCAAAGTTCCAGCAGCCTATTCACCAACAGAGGCACATAAGCAAATTGTGGTAATTTACACAGAACACTGAAAATAAAAATACATATATGTAGTAAGATGAACTCATTTAGACAAAATTCTAAAAAATACTCAGAGACAATAGCTGCTGGAGCGTGGGTCAGGGTGGGGGCCACACGGATACTGGTTCATTGTCTAGACGTGGTGAGCATCACAGATGCATCTCAATATTAAACTGTATACCTCAGACATGCTTATGGGCCAACTATAAATGACATTAAAAAAAAAAGTTTTGCCAGATAGGGTTTCTCTAGCCCTGGCTGCCCTGGAACTTGCTCTGTAGACCAGGCTGGCCTCACACTCAGATCCGCCTGCCTCTGCCTCCAAAGTGCTGGAATTAAAGGTGTGAGCCACCACCGCCTGACTCTAAATGCTATTCTTATCCAAAGCTAAACAAATTCCAAAATAAGAGACTCATGACCATTCTTAATGTGACTAGTTTAATTCAACTAGTATTTCCCACTGAGGTGTCAACTCTACAAAGAAACAACTGATACTAACCAGAGTTTAAGTTACTACAGCATCGCCACACAACAGTAAAAATATGTGGTTACAAGTCTGCACTGAAGCCGTTATCACCATGGCAGGCCAATATTTATTTTCTACTTTTAAAAGAGATTTTCTTGACAACTAGATAGAGGATGATAATTAAAAAGTTTAGTTTAATTTCCAAACATAATAAAACCATCAATATTTGCAGATGATAAACATTAAATACCAGACAAATTTACATATTAAGAACTCAAGGTTTAAAAACCTGCCAACATCTATTAATATCAGTAGGTAAAAATGAGCATGTGATGTTTATGCATAACAGTAATAAATAATTACAACTCAACTTAGAATATAATCTAATGTAACTATGTAAACAGCATGAACACTTTTGAGACTAAGTATAATCTTATATCTTTATGTGGAAAACAAAACTATTGAGAAACATAGAAGATATAATTGCAGAAACATACCATGTTTATAAATACAAAACTGTGTCATTATAAACTTATTAATTCTTCACAAGTGGATTTATAAACACAGTGCAATTGTGTACAAATGTTACCTCACAAAGGTCTTTAGGAACTTGACAAGCTGATCCTAAAATGTATACAAGAATACATGACTTCACCATGGCCAAAACCACTGTGAAAAACTAAAAGCCAGGGGAAGATGGTCACATACCACTGAGAGGAACAAACACATGACAGAACACAGTAAAAATACAAGCCAGAGAAGGGAGAAGCTGCAGCCTATGTAAATGCCGCGGGGTTACACCAAGATGATGTGGGGCACTGCTGCATCCACAGCAAGAAATTCTCACAGAAGAAAACCCCGGCAGCAACAAGCATCGGCCAGAATACTCATTTCTGAGCTATCTGTACCAACTGCATCTCAGAAGGGAAAAAAAAGGCTATTGCTGTAATGTTCTTTTTAAATCTGGCAATTGATCAGTATATTATACATTCACGTATTTTTGGAATTATTACATAAAAACTTCTAATTGTGCCCCAAACATAAAATATGTACTGCTGCCCTTTCCTTTTGCAGATTAAAAATGATCTTTATCATGTGAACTTTATTTAAAAAATAAAAACAAACATTAGTGATAAGTCTATCTCTAAAAAGCTGTCCACAGCTGATCTCTGGGAAGTGGAAGCTTGTATTGAGTTTGTCCTACAAATTGTCTCTGTAATGTTCACTAAAGAGCAGGTAGAGGGGGCAGGAGTCCTTCCTAAATTCATTCTAATTTCAGTAGCTACCACTTTATTCCACTCACCTTATCAATATCTACCACCAACAGAAAAACAAACAGTCACACCTAGGTCTGGTTAAGAGAAATCAAACTGTAAATACTGCAAAGGGAGAGGCTTGTATGCTTGAGGCTCTTCCTGCTTCCCCAGGCCCCGGCACTCCAGGCTAACAGTCTAGACGTAGCTAACATTTAGAGGACTTACCCTGCTGAACGTGGTTTCACAGACATTTGCTTTTCATATACTTTTTGAGGTCAGTTTAAAAAGACACGAGTACTTTGCCTGCCTGTGCATATATGTGCACATGTGTAGAGCCTGTGGAAGTCAGAAGACAACACTGGATCCCCCTGGAGTTATAGTTGGTTAACAGCTCCAGTGGAAGAGCAGCCGGTGCTCTCCAGCCCAGCCTAGCCTTGGGACTCCGCGGGTAGCCAAGGATGACCTTAAACCGGAGTGCTGACCTTAGAGGCTTGGGCTGCCACAGCTGGATTATGCAGTGCAGGGGATGAAAGCCAGGACCTTGTGTATGTAAGACAAGCAGTCTACCCAGTGGGCTATATAATAAGCAGCTGCATTATATAGCAATCTCAATCATAATCTTTGCTATTTGTCTGACCAATTAGAAAATGTGCATCAGGAAACAACTGAAGAGTTATAAATGTTTTCAAGTGAGAATGAAGCCCAAAGCACTGCAGTCTGTTCTGTTCCCGGACAAGCACTGACCACTGCTGCAAGTCTACCTCCTGCTCAGGACACCAGTGTGACCCTGAGGCTGAGGGCTCTCTGTGACAGAACAACCGGGCACGCTTTATTTTAACTTCTTTATTGTTTGCGGTATTAAACACATATTCTTACACAGCTGCTTTGCCATGAATAAAGCAACAGAAATAAGGCACTATCTCAAGATGTGCCTCACACGCACACATCATCTTATAAGAACAGAAGTCTGGATCCCTGTACAACAAAAGCACTGTATTCTGAGCATACCCCAATGTGTGGAAGGACAGCACACACACATCCAGCTTACTTAGGTTCCTTTATGAGCATAATTCCTTAATCATCTTTCTGTGGAATAAGAATGAATATTAAGAAGTATGAAATCTGAACAGCATTTATTTTCACCATATCAATGTTAAACTCAGGAGAAGCAACTTCATTGACTAAATGTTTCAAAAGTAAAAGGCAACCTTAATTTTTAATGACCCTATAACTAGGGTCTTGAAGAAAAAGGTAGATTTTTATCCCTTGGCATGAACAAGGGCATCAAACAAGGATCACTGAGAATGCCTACATATATAAAGCCATCGCTGGGAACGATGATCTCACACAGCAAGCCTAAGAAACCACCGGGAATGACTGCAACAGAAGCACCAAGTTAACACTGCGCGTTTGTTAGAATTCCCAAGTCCTTGCTCCTAAAACAAACTCAGTATACCTAATAAGTACAGCAGGTCATTTAGAAAAAACATTTAAAATATTTACTCAGTCTTTGCAATTCAATTTTTTTAACATGAACAATATTCATATATAAAATTGTACTAATTTTTTTCTAAATACAAATTATGCAGTCAAGGTTTTCTTAAACAAGCCAAGCCTTAGGGATATGATGTGTACAAACTAACAGTAGTGTATATTCCAAACTCATTCTTCCTATATTATGATATGACATAACTTTTCTGAATGAAGGTTTATATTAAGGCTTAAGGTGTAAACACTTTAGAAGGTAACTTAGTGAATTTACTGTTCACTTAAAAATAAGTATCATCTCATAACAGGTTCCTGAATGTTCAAACTTACATGTACAAATACATTTACATCTTACATTTCTAGAAAAGGCACATTTTATATAGAAAAGCAGCAAAATCTTAAACCCACCAATTTACTGAAAAAAAACCATTACTTTTTATTAGAAACAATAATGCTTCTCAAGATGTTGGCAACAAAGCATAGTATAGCACACATTTCATACAGTATATTTAATTATATTCCAGAAGGGGGTGGGACGCCTCCTTGGCTGTGGGAAGCTGACGTATTTGATGGACTATGTAAGCTGGTCTCCTTGTACACAAACCAAGCATTTCCTCCCCAAAGTATCATATTCAGAAAGCCAAAGATCTATGAAAGAGGAAAACAAATATAAAAACCTAATGTTTGCTTTAAACTACATATAAATTAGAATAAAAACAAAGTCTATACATACAGCCCATCGTACAAATTTTGGATGCATAATAATTTATTATACCCAACGTGCTAACCTCTAAATCTGTAACATAAAACAACAAGAAACGGCAACCTTTTCTTTCTGCACATGGGTTCCCATTTGAGAAAAGTAACTTTAGACTCTCACGTTCCTTCCATTCTGAATGGCTAGAACCTCATTTCCCTCCCTCTTCTGACTGCCCTTCGCTATTCCAACAGCTGCAGCCAGAAGTGTACTCTCCACACCCTGCACTGACTGGCATGCACGCAGGACTTGGTGAACCTACCTACCGTGTTTAACAAGGTCCTTCAGCATCAGTGACGGTGACTTACGAATAAGAGTGCGGTAAGAAGCTGAGGAACTATGGAACTAAAAAACTTTACCTTTTGTGTGTAAGTGCACTCACAGCACTGCCTGTCTATAAATACTGGCTTTTACATCACAGAGTTATTATCAAGAACATGGGTAAACTGCTTTATAAAGTAATACTAACTTCATCTTATGGAAAAGTATTTTCTGGCAAGTCTTCCAAAACAGAAAATATTCAATGTTATTGGCAATTGAAGTTTGATGAACAGTAGAAAAATATTTAATGAATCAGACATTATTAAATTTTACAGATTTGAGAAACTTTAAAAGTGTCAGTTCTATGTTCTCTAAGTAAACCAGACTTAAGAGAACAGTGCAAAGTCAGATTTGGTCCAAAAGCTGTCTCCTCAGAGGAACATAGCACACACATTTCTCAGCCGTACAACGAAGCTAACAACTGCTTTTCATTTTCCTCTCAGAGTGGCTGAGTAACTTCAGATACTATAGCACAATGGCTAGCACAAAATTTCAATAAAAGTTACCATTGTTAGTGTCTTTTAGTCTCTCGGTTACAGGTTACACTTTTCATAAGTATATATATGCTAATTAGAATCCACATGTTTCAGTAAGAATTTATTCACAGAGATGATTAAAAGTTACTTTCTTAAATGTTGTTCTAATAAATGAAGTACACTGTGCAAGCAACAGATACTTACCACAGACACATTCAGGGATCCCATACTAGTCACAGAGTCAAAGTAACAGAAGGCTTCTTGTGGCTGCCGACAAGGAGCAAGTTCCTTAATAATATTCTGTCCGGTAGCTATTTTAATATCTGTAAGAGCTTTAGCCCAGGCCGAGGAACTCACCAACCACAAAAAAGTGGCAACAAGAGTAACAATAAAGTCCTAGAGCAAAAATAAGCTTCGGTAAGTGGGCAATCAATTTAAAAGCAACACAATTCCTACAAGCAATAAAGAAATCAGGATTATGTTTAATCCCATAGTATCTATGGTCCTCATGATAGACTTTATTTAAAAGGTCGCATTCAGTATAATCATTATTGGTGTTTACTGTTTCTAGAGCACCATGACAGAGACACAGTAAGACTAAATCATCTCCTTAGAAGTATACAACTTAGCTGGGCATGGTAGCGCACGCCTTTAATACCAACACTCGGGAGGCAGAGACAGCAGATCTTTGTGAGCTACGGCCAGCCTGGTCTACAGAGCGAGTGCCAGGACAGGCTCCAAAGCTACACAGAGAAACCTTGTCGCAAAAAAAGAGAAATCTACAACTTAAAACTTTATTTTTGAGGCAGTGTTTTGCTAGTCTTGACAAAGTTACCTCAGAGTAACCGTCCAGATGTAATTTGGCACGTGTGTGCACGCCTACAGGAACACATGGAGAACATTTCAGATAGGCTGTGTAGCCAGCAAGCCCCCAGGATCACCTATCATCTCTGCACACATGCCCTCGCCCAAATACCACATGCGTGCTGGAGATCTGAACTCAGACCCAGCTCTCACAAGGGCTTTCATCTGCTGAGCCACCTCTCTAGCCCCAAAGTCCACTTCTTATGCAAAAAGGCCAAGTTTTCTAAACTGTCTCCACAGCCTCAGGAATATACTGAGTCCTCCTTTCCCCTACGGAAACGATAACAACACTTTCCATCATCTTTTTGTTTTGTTTTGTTTCTTGAGATACAGTCTTGCAATGTAGCATTGGCTGGCCTGGAACTAAGAGATCTGACTGCCTCTGCTTCCTGGGAATTAGAATGCTGGGGATTGAGGGTGTGCACCCCCAGACAAGTTTCCATCCCATCATCTTTTAAGTCTCTGGCCCAGCTTAGACCTATAAACAACCCTACCATTTCTTCTTTTTCAGTTACCCACTTCACTCCCACCATTACTTGAATTACTTATATTCGAAGTCATAATTCCTTGCACATACAATATGAACCCCTTCCCATGTGCAGTTAAAATTCTCAGTCTTGTCAAAAATAATTCTCCAAGGGACGGATTACTGAAGTGGTTTAAAAAAAAATAAAAGAACACAAACCAGGGGCTGGAGAGATGGCTCAGAGGTTAGAGCACTGGCTGCTCTTCCAGAGGTCCTGAGTTCAATTCCCAGCAACCACATGGTGGCTCACAGCCATTTATAAGGAGACCTGGAGCCCTCTTCTGGCATGCAAGCATACATGGAAGGAATGTTGTATTCATAATAAATAAAATATAAAAAAAGAACACAAACCAATCTTTTAAGTTTAAGAATGTTCAGTAGGGGCTAGAAAAATGGCTCAATGGTTAAGAGCATAGGCTGTTATTTCTGAGGACCCGAGTTTAATTTCCAGCACCCACAGGGTGGCACCTAACTTCCTCTAATTCCAGATTCTGGGGATCTGACACCCTCTTCTGGTCTCTGTGAACCCTACATGCATGGGGTACACAGATACACATGCAGGCAAAATACCTATACATAGAAAATTTTAAAAAATTATAGGGGCTTTAATTAGGGAGGGGAAGAAAGGGGAATACAGAAGGAGGGTAAAATAATAGGATGTCTGAAGTTATCAGGAACCGTATCATTATCTAACCACATAAAATCAGAGAGAGAGAGAGAGAGAGAGAATAAAAGAAATTTCCTATTTAGGTCAACAATGATCCCTCAAGAGACAAGAACCAGAGACTTGCTAACAGAAACTCTAACACCAAGCCCAAGAGTTGGTCAGCGTTGTCCAATAGACTCCCAAACATTACAGGCTATGGCTGTTGCCCCTGGTTGCCCCTGGAGATGCAAGTTAAGTTCCCACTGCTGACGACACTGCATTTCTGACACAGAACCCAGAAGACCTGCACTAGGGGAGCAGAGCAGCTGACCAGAAAGGCTCCTCCCTACAGACGAGCTCTCATGCCTCAGTAGGCACTGTGCACACTTCCAAGGGAGGAAGGCAGCCAACAGTCCTAGTCAGCTCTGCCATGAACCACAATGACCAGAGGGAAATCGTGCCTGGTACTGGAAGCCTACCCAACTACTCAGAGCCAGAGAAAGCATGGATCTTGATGGTAACCTACAACTGTCACATGACTAAATAAGCCAACCTAACTCCTAACTACATTCTAAATATCTACCTCTATACCCAAAGACATCACAGAAAACCACAACCAATACATTTGTAACACATCTCCTGCATCCAAGGTTCAGGGATCCCGAGAAGAGGAGACAAGAAGACTCTAAGAGCCAGAGGAAAAGGAGTTTGCTGTGAGATCATGCCTCCTAGAATGTCAGAGAAACTACACCCATCAAGTCTTATGGACATGGCTGCCTAAAGATCTGAACAAGGATGACCCAAATAGACAAGCTCTTATGGAAGGAGGGAAGCTCAGGTCTAAGCCGAGACAGGGAACTCTCAGAGTAGGAGAAATCGTCTTCCCAATGAAGAGGCCCCTGACTGCTTAATTTAACGGGTCAGTCCTGAAATTACCCACATACAAGCAACATTATATGAACTGAGCAAGTTCTATTTACATACTTAGGGGAAAAAAGGAATAACAATCAAATCAAAGAGGCCATGAGAGAGAGAGTAAGGGGGATAAAGAGGGGGGGTTGGAAGTAGCAAAGGGAAGGGGGAATGATGTAATTATAATTTCAAAAATAAAATACCACTACAAAAATTTAAAAGACAATGTTCATTTTATTAACAAAAAGATGAAACAGTACCTTTAGAAGTTCAGAGGTTTTCTACTGAATCCTGTTAATTATTACATTCTCAAAAACATGAAGGTTTTAATACTTTAGTTTTTTTTTTTTTAACAGAAATAACAAGACGAAGAAAAAAAGAAAAATCTCCTTACCCAATCTTTTCTGCCAGGGAAATAAAATATTGCCCACTGGACTGGTTTCAAAGACCTAAACACTGAGAGTATGAGTCTGTGCAATACAAGTCTCACCGTATTTGGTCTTCCTGTGAACTAATGAACTAAATGGGAATTTAGTTATAAATAATAGCTTTGATGCTCCTCTACGCATATAAGATATCAAGGCATCCGCTCAGGTTTGTTAGCAACAGAAGTCAGCTCCAAACGAGTTCATCCAAACCCAGAAATGAGTTCTTAGCTTATCACTGAAGAATTCTTAAAAAAAATAATAATACAATTAAATTCTAATTATCTTGGACCAGGGATATGGTGCAACAGATAAAGGTGCTTGTCACCAAGGCTGACAACCCGAGTTCGATCCATGGAAGGAGAGAACAAATCATGCAAGCTATCCTGATCTCCACATGTGCACCACTGCACGCATATGCACACACGTGTACACAAATGGAAATAAATGCAAACTTTTTAAGAGTCCTTACTTATCTCACCAGCCTCCTTTTAGCCATACGATGTACGGTATTTGTGCTCAGAGGACAAACTAAGGGCTAACTATACAAGCATGGCTGCTTGCAGCACTTGAGCTCTCCCTGCCTCTGCAGCCGACCCTCT